AAATGTTTGAAATATCAGGATAATTAATGAAGAAAAAACATATGGTTCAGCTGGAAACATACATTGTACATTAAAAAAATAGACATACATGTAAGGAGAGGAGAAGAAGGAATAGAGAGAGAGAGAGGGAGGGGGAGGGAGGGAGAGAGAGAGAGAGGGAGGGGGAGGGAGGGAGAGAGAGAGAGAGAGAGACAGACAGACAGAGAGACAGACAGAGACAGACAGAGAGAGGGAGAGAGAGAGAGTAGACAAGAGATGAAAGAAATACTGTTGGACTGTCTATGAAAAAAAAAAATTATTCATGACCCAAATTGTTATTGTGAGAGTATGGGTGACAGGGTCACTGTAACTTGTAAGGGGCCAGATAGGATGATGAAATGAAGCAGGGGCTTGTAGTGTCAGCCCTCTCATAAAAGATGGGTCAGAGTTCATATCCAAAATATGTCAAGTCTTTATGACATTTCTGAACTTAAACTGGGTGCCATGTAGAGAGGAAACTTTACAGAAATAACATCCCCTCATGAAATACCGCATTACTCCAGTGAAATGGTACACACAAGAATTACACTAAAGATAAAATGTGTAAAAGGAACATTTCCTAAACCAAAGTTGATTCCCTGCACAGTACCCAATATCCTACCCAAATACTTGCTTCATTTGTCTACACAGACCTGTATATATATCCTAAAATGGGACTAACACAAGTCATCCACATTGATTTTGCCAAGCTTTAGCTTTCAGCAAATAATCTTCTGTGTTGAGATATTAAATTAAATGTCAAAAAAATAAAGGTAAGAGTAATATATTTATGGTGTAAGAGAAAATACACTGACCATGATATGAGCTTTTCAATCCTTAACAATTTGAATCTTATTGGTGTATATGTACTGTATAGCTTTTAGGGGATAATTCCTTTTTTTCTCCCACTTCATGTATATAAGACCCCTGTTACACATACGTCTGAAAGTGGACCGAGGCCGGCCCCGGAGGCGGCTCGACGTATGTGTAACACCAACTTTTTTTGAAAAGCCGGACTGAGGCCAGGTGGACTCAGCCCACCTCTGGATGTGGTTTGAGGCCGGCCTCAGTCCCGCAATCAGTAGGTGTAACACCAAAGTGGACTCGGGCCCGGCTTATAAGCGGAAGTGACGTGACCTGTCATCATACATCAACATAATACATCGGGGCGCTTGCCACCTTGCTATAACTTTCTCTTTCTGTCTTTCCTTATGTTATTCTTTGTTTTTATCATTCTATCACTTTCTCTTTCTGTCTTTCCTTTTGTTATTCTTTGTTTTTTCCTTCCATCACCTTCTCTTATGTTATTCTTTGTTTTTATCATTCTATCACTTTCTCTTTCTGTCTTTCCTTATGTTATTCTTTGTTTCTTCCTTCTATCACCTTCTCTTATGTTATTCTTTGTGTTTATCATACTATCACTTTCTCTTTCTGTCTTTCGGGAGTCCGCCCCAACGTCAGCTCGTGAAAAGGCGACGTGAGGCCGGCCTATGTGTAGACGCAAAATTACGGGCCCGAGATCATGTGTAACAGGGGTTTGATGATCTCGAGGCGGCTTCAAATTGCAGGCATGAGGCCGCCTCCGGGCCTGCTTTAAAAGCCGACGCATGTGTAACAGGGGTCTAACTTGTTTTTTTTTTTAGTGATTGGTCCTCTTCCAATGTGTTTGCTGTCTATTAAACAAGGCATACTAAAACAAAAAAACCTTGGGATATTGTCTGCAAGCTTGAAGTTAATAAAGTTCAGCAAGTTCAATTTCCTTGCATGAGCACTTTAAGTTCTATGGCTTCTGTTGTGCATTAGCACTAAATTATTTATGGCCTTGAGAAGCATTAAGGCAATCCTGCCAGCATTCAATACATAATCTTGCAGGATTTTCATACAATGTTGGCAGAATAGCACAGAATTCATGATATGGATCAGATATATTAACCACAGCTTGATAAGGATTTAACTAACTAAAGACATTAAGCCTCTTGTTATGAACTTAAAGGGAAGAGTTGTTATCTTTGAAATATCAAAGGACATAGGCCTATATGAAACAATAATGCAAAAGTCAAGTAAAATTCAAGAAATAAGGTGCAATGATATCCATTACAAAAGCCATTTCCTAAAATCTTCTAATTATAATAATAATAATAATAATAGTTCAGTTCTTGTATAGCGCATAATACGTCATGAAATAACATCTCTATGCGCTTCCAAAGAGCTTTGGACTTTATTACCCTAGCTTTAGCTCTGGCAGCCTTATCAGTGCACAGTGCATTTCAAGGAATAATCCTACCAGGTACCCATTTACCTCAACTGGGTTGAGTGTGGCAAATGTAGACCAATGTCTTGCCAAAGGACATTAGTGCCGCGGTGGGACTCGAACCGCGGACCTTGTAATCGACAGTCCGGTGACGTATCCACTCGACCACAACACCTCTACGAATTATGTACACAAAGCTAAATCAAAAGTAATTTAGCATTTAAATCAACTTACAGGGAAGGCATGGTCCTTGAAATATCAAAGAGCATACATGTAAACAGCCGTCAGCTATGGGAAAAGTAAAGTATTAATATTCAAGAAATAAGGTGTCATGATATATGATGATAAACTATATAAAGTATGAATAGAGTTTATCTGAGATATAGGATTCTAATCTTTCCTCTAAAAACAGACCTGTTATGACTATCAGGTCAATCACTGTTATGCCTGTTGTTTTTGTTTTCAATATAAAAGGAGGTTCCACATTATATAGAGACAGTCTGATATCACACTGACTAGCGGACAGGAAACCAAGCTAGGGCTCTCATATCTACCAGCTTTAGCTGATAGCCATTTCCTGAGCTAGTTCCAATGAATAGCACTGCTGAAAAACATTTGGCAAGCTACCATACCAGGCATCAACATCTCAATCTCAGCAAGTCAACAAAAAGGATAAAGTTGGAGTAGCAAGTGACAGAAGTGGAGATAATGAAAGAACAGATATATGTAACACAGAATTTGAAAGAATTTCTATGAATAGAAGACAATATATTTTTTTTTATTTAAAAAAAAAAAAATCGCAAATATAGAAGGAGTAACATTCAAAAGCCTTTTAATATGCAACAACACAAAAACGCGCTTTAAAAATACAAGTCTTCGTTTGTTGACGATCAGCAATGCACAATGAAGAAAAAACACTTCATGCATGGCTGATCGTCAACGTTACAAAGTTAAGTCTTTTATCAACTCTGTTTGTTGCTACGGCAGGCAGCTAGTGAAAATGAGTTTGTTTAATAAAATTATGGAAATGCGAGCATTACTTTAAACAAACGGAACTTTGTTATTCCTGGCTCGTTTTTCCTGATTGAGGTGTCATATGAAAGGGCAGAAATTGAAATTTCTAGAAATTTGATTTTCTCTTTGAAATTCAGATATCGTTTTGCCATATGACTTTTTGGTACCCTTTCTTCAAATTGTTTTTTATCACTCATGCATGAAATATGCATCATATGAATTTCATAAAATGAAAGAGGAGGATCTATGCTTTACAAATATGTGTCATTTAATAATTATATTTGTGAATAAGTTATGATAAAACATCAATAATTCTTGGTTTCGTTTTTTGGGGGGACGCACTGTATAGGAAATTACTTTTAGATTCAACACCTTATACTTCTCAATTAAAAAAGTACCTTGCTGAATATATCCCATGTCAAAGAATTGATCCTAGTTCCTATTTAAGTTCTCACAACCGTTGTAGTGCCAATGTTAACAAGAATATGCTTCTGGGCTGCCTACCTAATCAAAAACTGTTCAACTCCTTCTATGCTGTAGCTGGCAAATTCTTGAGCTGAACTAACCATTGAACTGAATTGGACATCTTACTCCTAAAAGTTCATTTACTGAAATGTTAGTGAATTTAGTGGCACAAGAATGGTCAAGTGCACATGATCCTAAGTTGGACTTCCAGGGAATAACATGGGTCTTAAATATTTGTGATCTTTTTTGTAGGACACTGAAGGGATTCTCTACCATCTTATCTTCCATGAAACAAAGTTTAAGAAGACACAAATCTGAAGATAAGAACCTAATCAGTGCAGCAGCCGGACAGTCAAATTGCACTGTGATGAATGATGTGAAACATCAATGACGCTTATGTGCTGTATGACTGTTTCCCTGATCCAAGTATATGTACCTGACCCATCTGAGCCAACAGTATGGCAGGGCCATATCAACACTTACTGGCAGAATTTTATTTCAACTTTTGTTTGGCCAACCCTTATCAAAAAGGAAATGTTCTAATTGAATGCTTGCACAAGTACTAAGTTGTGGTAAAATGTATAAGTCTGGGAGGACAATCAATAATTCTGACTTATACCTGAGCATTAATTTGGATCAGATTTAGGTCAAAATCAGAATATTTTGCCAACTCTAGTACGTTGGATGCACAGTGTGAAGAAAGTGCTTGCCAATTGACATACTTACTTGCTTTATATTTTTGCCAAAACAATAATATATTCCTCCCCAAAATGACAGATGTTCCTCATGAAAAATCAAAAGTATAATCTTCCCTCAAAAACAGATAAGTTGATCAACCAAAGATATATTATTGGCCCAATGATATATTGTCCTCCAAGACATATTCTTGCTCAAAACACAAAACACAAAACACAAGACTGTCCTCCAAGATATATTCTTGCTCAAAACACAAGATTTTATTGCCTACATAAAATATATGTCATTCCTAAAATGGACAGATTTTCTCATATCAATGACATACCTTTTAACAGCACATCTACTTCCTACAATGAAAAATTAACAGAAGAATTAGTTTGATCACAAGACATTTTTTATAAATTGAAATAACAAATTTTCTTCCTTTATAGCCAAAAAAATCTTGCCCTATGAGCCAAAAAAAATGTACATGTCATTGTTGCCAAGAGCTGTAAAAGCTGAAAAAATAAATGAAATAGAAAGAATACTGAAAAACATGATGGAATCCTAGACTTACTTTTCATGAGTATTGACATCTGCACCACGGTCAGTAAGGAGTGTCAAGCATTCTAAGATAGAGTCCTCAGCCAAGTTACTGGAACATACAGACATCAGAGGACTGTACATAACTGAAACAAACGGAGAAACATAGGAGTTATTGCTCTATAGTCTGACATTATTTGACCGGCACCATTCTGTACACACTCTAACAAATTTGTCTACCACATATTTAGGATGATGGTAAACCCAATTGTCTATCTTTCATTTTGCTTTCTTCTGGTCATCTTGTAGAATACTGTTTTGTCTATAGTGACCAGCAGATGATGAAGGATGGACATTTGCTAATTAAAGGTACCATAAACAAACGATACTCCAGGGCATTTTGTGTACCCGGTAGCTCCTTCAGAACAAGCAAATCACCAATATAGTAAAGAAGAACTGTACAGTGTTTTTTATGTTTAGATTGATTTTGATAACTTATGCACCACATGAACATTGTTCAATGATTTGCTAGATCTCCAAACATTTCCAATAAACCTTGACTTTATGACCAACTACAAGCACAATCTTCAATTTTCATGGAAAAAATAGAGAAAAATGAAAAGTTAAAGAAAACAAAACAACAACAATAAAACGAGAGCGAAGAAAGAATACATACATGTAAAAGTACTAAAAGAGAAAAGATAAACAGAGTCACTGATGTATGTATCCCGTTCAAATGGAAGCAAATATAGGCCCTACAGCACAATTAAATGAATGAACTTCTTCAAGAGAAAAAAAAGAGACTGAGATAAGAAAGATAGAGAGGTTGAAAGAAAAGAGGGACTATGATCTACTAACATGATGCCTTGTGGAAATCTGGATTAGCTCCTTGATCTAGAAGATATTTGACCATCTCAGCTTGCCCACAGCTGGCTGCATACATGAGAGCTGTCCAGCCTGCCTTTAACATGCAGTCCACTTCAACACCTGAAATCAACACAACAATCATCTTGGTATTATTAAAGTTAGCAACTGACCATAGTTCATTTGTGCAGAGCCTAATACAGTAGGTACACATGTATTATACTCTGTGTAAAAGAGTTTGAGTAAAGTCTTTGGCAGATATGACACGATAAAACCACATCGGTTTCTATGACATAAAGTGTAATAAGCTTCACATTTCTGTACCTTATAACATAGAGCTAACAGAATATGTGAGAGCTTTTTTTGAGGCGGTTTAATTACTGCATCATATCTACATGTAAAAGAGCCGACTTGTGGCTCTCAACAGAAGAGTTCTCCTTTAGTGTACATACGGTAGTCTTCACACTTTCAGAGCTGCCAAAATGTTGGTATTGCATTAAATGCTCTTATATTTAACATCATTATATTCTGAAAGCATTTACTACACATATTTATGAAGTATGAAGAGAGCTATCATGGAATAATGAAGATAAAATTTTTTAAAAATTCATAATCTCAAACTTTACGGGGGGTTTATATGTTTGCTGACTTCTGTGAAAAAGTACATGTAGATTTAATAATAATAATAATAATTTTTTTTTTCTTCCATTCATTTCGGTTTATTGAGTCAAAATTCCATGTTAAAACAGTCGGGAGACTGATACAAACAAAGATTACAAAGTTCAAAGAAATGAAGAGAAATTACAAATACATCAATATGGAAACGATCACATAGATTAGTTCAAGGGATAAATTAACAATAATAACAACGGAAACTTCAATATATTGCACATCATTCTGACATTAGTGTACTATACCGTGTGATTAAAAAAAAAAGTTTACACCTAGAAAATTGCTAATTATTTTAATAGTCATCTATGACCAGTAAATTATTAAACATCTTATGAAAGAGCGTTTTATCCCAAATCATTTGGTACCATTTTTGTGTGGTATGTGTTCATGCTTGGATAAACAGGAGGCATTGTTTGCGAGAGTGCAAAAATTGACTTGCGTCAAAGTGATGCCTACAGTATGTGATATGTTGGGATTAAAGTGAGTATCAGAAGAGATGCATTACATATTTTTGCAGAAGCAAAGTCACATACACACACACATGTTTGTTGATATTCAATGTTTGACATTTGATATGTGTGGCATGATTAATTTTGTTAGGGATGTTATTTGGATCTTCAATGACCGAATTAATACCCAAATCCAAATTGTTTTATTCAAACATTCCATAAGCAACTTTGGCGCAAGTCAATTTTTTGCACTCTCGCAAACAATGCCTCCTGTTCATCCAAGCGTGAACACATACCCCACAAAAATTATGCTAAATGATTTGGGATAAAACACTCTTTTATGAGATGTATAATAATTTACTGTTCATAGATGTTTATAAAATAATTAGTAATTTTCTAGGTGTAAACATTGTATATGTATATGTAAAGTTGTTTCATTAATATATATGTAGGAACATGAGTATTACAAAAATATATATTTATTTAAGGAAATTAAGCCATGTGTATTTTTAGGGCACATGTATATCTATCATGTTACTAAAAACATGTAGGCCTATAGTAGGCATTCGTGGGGTAAAAAGCTAAAACTACATGGAAGAATTGGGCATTCGTGTTAAAAACGGGAGTTCCTATATCGTTGGGTTTTACAACGGGGTAGGTATAGTAGATGAGCACTTCTAAGTATTGAACTGCGGTGAGAGACGCATTGATGAGTAGCAGGTAGACTTGTGGAGACCATGCCCAAAGCGCAGAAGGAATTCATTTCTGTGTTCACACAACATAGGCAAGTTGAAACGAGCGAGTCGTTCTGTAAGTTCGTTCTTATATAGCGCATTTCAGGACCACAGGCCCTCTCAAAGTGCTTTACAGATATATCATTAACCCGGTCATCGTATTTAGGCTTACTCACACACTTAATCTGCAATATTACTCAAAAGGGGGTATTGAAAATATCATCATTTAGAGAGAGAGAGAAAACAACAAAATAGATAACCAAAGAGTGAAACTCAATAAACAAATATTTAGAGAAAATAGCTTTCTGTAGCCTCTTAATACCTTCAAATTATATTATCCTATAATATTGGATAAACTAACATGTATGCACTTGGTAGAGTAACAAAAAAAACATGCAATTGTAAAAACTGGATTAAATGAGAAGTAATTTAAGCTGAGAATCTAACACCTTCTCTATCCCATCTCATGATGATTCAAGTCCTATCTTACATCTATCCTCCCCATCCCTCTCCTCTCTCTCTCTCTCTCTCTCTCTCTCTTACACACACATACACACACACCCCCACACAGACACACACAAGAAGAGGGTCAACCCTAGAGATACAATAGTTTGGTTCACACGACACTCCGTTAAAGTGTACCAATCACCAAAAGATGTTTTGCTCTTGGTGGAAGGGGTTCTGTGTGCCTAAATATGTGCCTAAATATTCAAAATATGAGCTTCAAATACTACTTCTAAAAAGAGGTAAAATTTAATTTAAACTACATTCCCAGTGAACTGTAAAATGTTTTGTTGAGTGGACTAGTTAACGCACTCGCATAAACATGGCTCACACAGACAGAACCCAAGACCACTTGTGTTCCGTGCAAGGCTGCAAGCAATATGCGGGTTTCAATGTTATCCCTTCTTTTCTTCATACTCCTTAACCATTTAATATATGTCAGGGAAAGTATTGTGAGGTTCATTTTTATATATTCTAGCTATTTACAAATTATTTTCCAGGTGATTGGTACCATGTGAACATAGCCAATTATGATTCACATCATAAAGACAAGCAGGAAGGAGAAGTAGAAACAGGTGGTATCACACGACCCTGGTTTAGATGTTATACATGCTGTATGCCATTTCAAAGATGACTATCAGCCTTTTCACACACAGCTAAAATTCATCGTATCTAGAGATGATTAGAATCACTCAACAGTTTTAAACATGTTTATAGACAAAATTTCCCAGTGTGAACATCGTTTATACGATGTTGGGATAGATACAAAGTCGCGATGCATACGCCCCTAAAAGCAGGCTGCAGATACGAAGTTCGTATCTAGTGAGCTTGACATTTTGTGTGTGAAAGGTTATTCGTGTTTAAACGTGTTTCAGACGTGTTTAAACTGGATGGAGCATGCGCTTTGATTGATGTGACATGACCTTCAATGCGCAATCGCACTACTGCGCATTTTACGAGCAGTAGTTAATCACGAAACGATTAACGATCACACCGAAATTTCTGTGTGTGAAAGGCTCGTGATTAGTTTAAACACGTTCGAAACACGTTTATACTAGTCATGTTTATAGAATTTTAGCTGTGTGTGAAAAGGCTGCTACATGTACATGTACATGTATCGCTTAAATAGAAACTTAAAGATAAAGTTGCGTTCTGGTCATGCGATCAATGCGATTGCATTGTGAAAGAAACGTTGTGGAATCGATCAGAAAAGGTTGATCATGTAGCATATAAGTATTGGTGTGTACTGCAAGGTTCTGGAATCATCAAAATGATAAGAAATTTGGCCCAGTCTTGGTAAAGTTAGAAGCACTGTACACAGAAAGATGGGACTACATGAACATGAGGCATAGAAATCCTTCCCGATTTGTATGATGTTTCATGCCATATTTAGAATATTAAGGCATTTATAGAGCCATATGCTTTTCAGGGAACATTTTTTTATCTGATGTTCTTCCACACTTGCATAATACAATGATAACGATCTCAAAATATTTTCACCTTTTCCCAGAGCTCAACCTTCTCTTTAAATCTATTGTCTAACATCGTATTTGCGCTAGGGTCAATTGTCCTGGAGCATGTGCCGGATCTCTGACATGATTCACACTTTTTCCAGGAAGAGCATTCATAGATCAAGAGATTCATCCAGCCATCCTAGGAGTCTACACTAAAGCTTTAAAGCAACCATCATGTGCAGGAATCTGATCTTGGAAAATTAGTGAGTTAGCATGACAACCAGAACATAGATTCTCCAGCAATTCTGTATGATGCTTCACTCCAGATTAGAGATCTTTTCAATTGAGACAATATGATACCAGAAAGAAAAGTGGCCCAGCTTCGGCAATGGGTTTTGAAGTATCGGTGTTGCAATGTTATTTAATAAACGTCTATGATCCGTACCCTGTCCAACAGTTCAAGCATCATTTAAATTTCTCATTCAGGCTTGCACATGATATTTTTCCATTCAACAGAAATAAACATTGCTCAGTCTATTCTGCTCTAAATCACTTGAAATGGACGATTAATTTTTGTTAATGACATCAAACAAGAGCTCTTATCTTCCTGTTTACAAGAGTACCACTCTATAGCAGCACAGTTTTACCATCATGCCACTTGATCTCAGAGACTGGAGACTTTCTGGCGCTTATACTTTGTGCACTTCACTCTCCTTTACTTTCATTCTTCAAGAGCTCATAGTTTCAAAATAATTAACAACTAATATATTCCTTCAAGATCAGTGCTCTTTCACTTGAAAATGTGCAAGAGATTTAATCAAACTACATCCTTCTAGTGACCACCGGAAGCCCATAACACTCCAATGTGATTTTCAGACTTATATTTTTTAGTTCTTCACTATTGTCAATCTGTATAAGGAACTGTAATAATTACCTCTCCAAAGACTATTGATGATTAGATTGCCAACTTCTTTATCATCTACAGGCCAACTTCAGAATAAACAAGAATGGGAAGGGGCTAGGGGGCTTTAATATTCAACTTGGGTTCTGAGTCTGAACCACATAAATGTACAACATACATGTACTGACATAGCTTAGTGATAATGCACAAAGTTTACTATGAAAAGCTTGTATTAAAGGTAAAGACCAGAATTGGAAACACCCCAAATTCAAAAAATGAAATGGAAGCTCTTATTACCGATCATGTGAAAGAATATGTTTTGACTACCGTAATACATGATGATAACAATTTTGCCGGGAAACCGCCTACTAATTGATATATTTGGTAAATTAGTTTATCTACATGGTCTGTCGCGCACGTGTGGGGGTAGTCCCATATACATCTTTCTGTGTACAGTGCTTGTAACTTTATCAAGACTGGGCCAAATTTCTTATCATTTTGATGATTCCAGAACCTTGCATTACACACCAATACATGTACTTATATGCTAGATGATCAACCTTTTCTGATCAATTCCACAACGTTTATTTCACAATGGAATCGCATGACCATAACTGGTCTTTACCTTTAAAACATTTTGATGATTTTGTATAAAAAAAATATCACAATGTTGAAGAAAAAAAAATGTATCCTTAAATATTAATTTTGCTTCCATAAGATACAAGCAAATGCAAATAAACATACTCCCATCTCTTTCGCTTTCTCTCTCTCTCTATCTCTCTCTCTCTCTCTGACTTCCTCTTCTCTTCTGTTCTACAGATCTCATCAAGTAAACAGTATCCATTCTTCTTCCAGTTTCATTTTCATTTTCATGTTGCAACTGTTTTTTTTATACTGGTATTCTAATTGCCTTGTGAAGTTTAGCAGAAAGAGTACATGCACATATTGCTTCGTAATTAACATTGGTTTCTGGTGATCAAATGGATGATCAACTCAAAAATAGTACTTTACTACATGTTAGACCTAAGACAAGCATTTGAAATTGACTTTCTAAGATCATGTGTCAATCATAGCAATATACATGTAAATTAAGGCTGCGACGAGTACTCGAATACTCGAGTACGCGCACTGTTGACAACTACTCGAGTATGATTTCTGTATCATTTCTCATACTTGAATACTCGGCCGTTTTTGTTTTTTCTGCTTATCACCTGGCCGACGCTTACCCGTGCCTGGCAGAGCGCCGGCATGGTACCGTGGGTAAAAATGTTTCCCAGCTCAATCACTGTCAACTCACCACTTAGAAACTGGGACCAAATGTTAGGATTTCTGTTTGGACTCGGAGGGAAAGTAGTCTGTCATCTTTGGTATTAAAAAAAACATTGTTTACTATAATTATTATTATTAAATCGGTGCCTTTAACTGCAAATCAAAGTAAAATCGTGGGAGTTTTTGAAGACGGACCTGGGATACTTCTTCTGTAGTATGTATGATGGTGGCAAAAAACAAAACAACAACAAAACAAAACAATTAAAAAAAAATTAAAAACAACAACATGGCGTTTGAGTATTCGCCTGTAAGCCGGGGAGTGTCCTCGAGTACCTCATTACACGGTTATGCACAGCCTTAGCATATCCATTCCTATATTATTAACTAGTTTACTTGGACAAATGGAATAACATACTGGTAGGCCTAAAATCTTTTAAACTATTGGACTATACATGTAATAATGTTGTACAGAGCCATCAATATACAGAGATTGGTCAACCCAATTCTAGTTGCTTAGGCCCTATAATATAATGACACTCCTTTGTTGGGCAAGCACAAAAGAACATACACCACATTGTGACCTACTGAAACCAAAATGGCCAAACTATGTATAGATGACTGTGATGTGGTACATACAAATTGAATATTATAGAATACTACTCTACCTCTCTCTATGAATTCCTGCACCTCTTCTAGCTTGCCCCTTGAAGCAGCCGTCTTGAAGTCATCTAGAACGATGGGTGACCCTTGTTGGTCCCTCTGGACTTTGGAAGGGGTAGCCATCCCAAAGCCTCCAATATTTCCATTGGTTCCTGTGGTTCCATTACCCTGTAATTCACAAAACAATGCAAAATACACAGGAATCAGTTCAGTTCAGAATTACTCCTGGAAAGCTCCATGCTCTGGTAGACAAGGAATTCAACTCGCAAATAGTTATAAATTAAAAAATAAAATAAAATGATAACGAAGAAAATGTATAAAATATGCTTGAACACTTTTTTCACAAGAGTTCTGGAGTGAAATTTTATACTTTATGGGTTCTATATACATATGGTCCCCTTTTAAAATGTTGAAATTTTTTTTTGGGGGGGGCAAGATTTTAAATCTTAAAGTAGATATTCATTGATTTTAAAACTAACTTTATTTTCATTATTACAAAGTTGAAACTTTGATTCGACAAGGTTATCAATATTCAATACTTGGAAAAAATTGAAGTAATGATTATTATAAATTACAAAACGTTTAAATACAGCCCCGGCATAGCACCTGAAGAGCTCTCTGAATGCTGCTGAGATGTGTTAGATCACAGTATGGACATGACTTGCACAAGCAGACGATGTCCCAAGACATCTCACACATATTCAGTGCCTGTTTTTTCATCTTCTCTTTGAGTCCTTTCTCTTTCTTCACTACCGTCAGGCTAAATGTATAATCTATTGCCTCACTCTAAGCCCCACGCATAGTTTTAATATGATGACAAATGCAGCAATACAAAAATAAAGGAATCTGTCGCTTGTAAACAAAATAAGACGCCATTGTATATTCAGCTGCACACACCGCGGTATATTCGGCGTTTCAAGAGGGAACAAGTGCCGTCCTTAATATCATTCCGGGGGTTTTTCAATTTGAAAGTCTGGTTTCTTTGATTGTTAATTAACCCCTATCCTGTGTATTTACAAACAAAAGATTTTAGTTATCAGAATCGGTTTCATATCCCCTTTTGAATGGTTTGAAATACCATCACATTTATATACACTAAACTCATTATAATTTGAGAAATAATAGCTTTGCAATTATGTTCATTCTTTATGGGATGTCGTCTGCTTGGGCAGTATTGGTCCATTATGTGACGTCATTAAAACATTGTTATTTTTCTGGGGAATGTCTCGTATATCCCAGATGCTATGGAGGTGATTCTATTTGTATTTTTATAAATCACCCGATATGTAGTTGACCTAAAACTTGTACAATGGCCATCTGTTAGCTTACCAGTTTCTAGTGGTACATTAGTTGACATATATGTGATTTTCTTTGAGTTAAAATGTTGGGGCCTATGTGAATCACACCTCTGTTAAAGGTGAAATTCAAAGAAGATCACAAATATGTCATCTAATGTATCACTAGAAACTGGTAAGCTAACAGATGGCCATCGTACAAGTTTTAGGTCAACTACATATCGGGTGATTTATAAAAATACAAATACAACCACCTCCATAGCAGCTGGGATATACGAGAGATTCGCCGGGAAAATAACGATGTTTTAATGACGTCACTATATGGACCAACACTGCCCAAGCAGACGACATCCCATAGAGAATGAACATAATAGCAAAGCTATCATTTCTCAAATTATAATGAGTTTAGTGTATATAAATGTAATGACATGTCAAACCATTCAAAAGGGGATATGACCCGATTCTGATAACTAAAATCTTTTGCTTGTAAATAAACAGGATAGGGGTTAATTAACAATCAAAGAAACCAGACTTTCAAATTGAAAACCCCCCGGAATGATATTAAGGACGGCATTTGTTCCCTCTTAAAACGCCGAACATACCCCGGAGTGTGCAGCTGAATATACAATGGCGCCTTATTTGTTTACAAGCGACAAATTCCTTTATTTTTGTATCGCTGCATTTGTCATCAAAATAAAACCATGTGCGGGGTTTAGAGTGAGGCAATAGATTATACATTTAGCCTGACGGTAGTGAAGTAAGAGAAAGAACTCAAGAGAAGATGAAAACACAGGCACTGGAAATGTGTGGGATATCATGGGACATCGTCTGCTTGTGCAAGTCATGTCCATACTGTGATCTCACACATCTCAGCTGCGTTCGGAGAGCTCTTTAGGTGCTATGCCGGGACTGTATTTAAGCGTTTTGTAATTTATTTTAATCATTACTTCGAATGTTTCCAAGCATTGAATTTTGATAACCTTGTCGAATCAAAGTTCAACTTTGCAATAATGAAAATAAAATTAGTTTTTAAAATCAATGAATATCTACTTTAATGTATTCAATTTGTATTGCCCTTTTCCTATAATGAAACAAAGAGCTCCTGTTTGAAGAAGTACATTTTACACTGACCAAAATAAAAGATGAAGACAGTTGATGGATTCATTAGCTATGACTATGTGTAGAACAGGTGTCACATGCATATTCACCTTTTTACATAATAGCAGTGAAGGGATGTTCCTTTGTCTACCCGAGGAACTGTATATTTTGTCCGCTTTCTTTGTCCGTCATATTCATAGTGTATATGTACCCAATACTGATAAAGCAAATGCATTCTTGGCACAATGGGATTGGGACTTTAGCTGTACATCCTATCCAAGGGCCTGACTAATTGAGTACAGTTACATGTATGTAGTCAGAGTTGGACAGACATGCCTTTGTAGGATATGAATGAACTTGAAGGCTGAATCTTGTACCATGTAACCACAGATATTTCCATTTTTTAATCATACAGAGTAGCATAACTGTGAAACATTTCTTATTCTTGCGACAACAGTCACAAAGCAGCTATTTAAATCATACTGTACATGTACAACAAGTGAAGAGAGAGTTGACTGGGAAGCTTTGCTGAACACAAACACTTCGTCCAACATTTTCTTTTTATATGGCAATTAGCTATTAGTTACTGTCGCAATTTAAGACTCGCAAAGATACTCATAGTAAGCTCATAATAAGCTTCTCAAGTTCTCATCACAAAATATAAAACTGATTATCTTTGTGGCAAATAATATGTGCTCAATGGAGACTCCTAGTTGAAAATGCCAGATAATACTGAATGGTCATAAAAGTAATCCAATCCAATCCAATCCAAAAGATATTTGATATACCGGTAGCGCCTTCTCCTTGCGGTTACAAAGCACTGCACACACGCTCCACAATATGTGGGCCACTTAAAAAAGTAACCTTACTTTATTCACCCGTCAACCAGAATCTTGAACCTACCCCCCTTAAGGGTAGTCAAAATTTCAACTTCAACCCTACAGTACGTCAAATCTTGGTGTTGCCGAAATCAGAGCATGATGAATCTTTGACATATTTTTTTTTGGGGGGGGGGGGGCCAGAGTGAATCTTCACATTATTTTGTATAGGAGAAGAATAAATCCTTGCCTATTTTTTACCGGATGTTGGGAGACTTGGACAAATATTTTTCACATACAAGAGAACATTCTTGTGTATGAACGAGCGTCGAATGTCTTACTCAGAGTTCAAGATTTTAATAAACAGTGACGTACCTGGAGTTACGAGTACTGTAAACGTGGTAATATTTGTGGTGCTTTAATTTTTGTGGATTTCGCTCACAAGTCGGTTTTTCGCGAATATTAAAACCAATGAATATATAATGCACAAGGAATATGTACCTCGCTGAAGTTTAAAATTATTGACGAGTTGCTAAAACGTATACTCAATGAAGACTGCTTGACAACTGGCCACATTTTAGGTAAATCATCCTATAAGTATAAGCCGCTATGCAGACATGGGGGAAATTCGTTTACAGCTGTGACATTTTGTTTACTTATAGCCTGCGCATGCGCCACTAGTTAGCGTGAGCTGAGTCGAGTACAGGAAGTGCTTGCATGGGCTGCATAATATCATGTACACCGTAGCATGCATATCAATCTGCATACAGAGGTGTACTACGGTAAACGCTGGTAAAATCTGATAACTAGAGATGGGTGAATCTGCACCTTATACATAACTTGAAAGAGTGAATCTCGACCTTAAGTTTCAGGAAGCAAGGTGAATGAGAAGTGAATCTTTGTGTAAGACATTCAAGACCAAAAGTGAATAAGAGTGAAGTCTTGAGGGGGGGGGGGGGTAGGTTCAAGATTCTGGTTGACGGGTGCATTAGCACAATGTAAACAAATGGTTCAAATGCAATATTCAATATCAATTCATACATGTAGCTGGTTTTAATCTAGTTTGAAATAGCAACACTCTCACCCCACTCTCCACCCAGGTGTTAAATGGTACCCGATAGGATGAGAAAACTACTATGGTTAGAATAGCAAGTGTGCGTTTGTAAAAATGACGCCTGGCTGGAATGCTCCCCAGGGAGTGGACAATGTGCATATAATGTGGGCGGGTAAGCCTGAATCCGATGGCCAGGGTAATAATATATACATGTATCTGTAAAGCGCTTTGAGAGGGCCTGTGCTACATTATATAAGAACAAACTATTATTATTATACCACATTGATATTCAATCAAACTTTCTGGCATTGGACTGTAACTCCAGGATATTCCCTATTCAGAGTAAATAGGGAAATGAAAGCATAAAAGCACAAATTCTAGTGGCTTTTCTTTGTCCTTGAAATCTACTCAACTGAGGTTCTTTCACTATGTTTATAAAAACAGACAATGAACTGAATTGTTGCAAAGCTCTGCTACACAAGCAGTAAGATCAATGTTGCATATCTTATTGTGTCACAGGATAGCATATTTTTAGACTACAGTAAAACTCATTGAAAAAAATAGATAAAAGCATGATATGCTAACTTCAGTTAATCATGGCTTGAATTAATCTTGAGATATCACAATGAGAACAAACAGCCTATACTAACATGTCAACTGATCTTTACAGCCTCTGACTGTGACCAAAAATGTGATCACTTGTTTTCCAACAGGTTCTCAGTTCATTGCTAAAGTAGAGTTAAATAGTCATTTATTTTGCCATAATAAGGTTTAAAAACTCTTAATTTCATGTTGAATTATTTGCTGACCTTTGACATTTCATTGACAAAACATAATCAGCTTGTCTTCCAATGGTAACACATAAAATCACTTGGTTTGAAGCTCATACATGTACGTCAAGTGGTTCTCGACATATTGCGATAATTAAATGAGGCTTAAATCTGTCATTTGAGAAATTGACCTGTTATCAATGACATTTGAACTGTAACCTTCTCACCCCAAAATCTACTCAGATCAACTTCCTGTGGTGATACATACTATCAACGAGTTTGAAGTTCATACCTCAAGTGGTTCTTGAGATCTCGCAATAACAAGATTGTGGGATGGACATACGGACAGTATGAGCAATCCGAAAACATAAAACTTCCAGCACCACCGTCAGTGCTCGGGGAGAGGTATAACGATCAAATCAAGCCTTATTTTATGACTGATAGTACAATTACTCTGAATATTTCTACTGACTGATAAAATATCAATTGCGTTTAGGAAACATTTCAAGAAAAATTCTTAATCTTAAATTCCTGTTCATGCAAACAATGAAAAAACAATAAATTCTCATATTTTTCTTTGATCTTTTTAATTTACTGACGATCAGGGCTCAAAACCCTAAAAATAAACATCTGACACAATGGTTTAAAGATAAAGACCAGTTATGGTCATGCGATTGCATTGTGAAAGAAACGTTATGGAATCGATCAGAAAAGGTTCATCATCTAGCATATAAGTATTGGTGTGTACTGCAAGGTTCTGGAATCATCAAAATGATAAGAAATTTGGCCCAGTCTTGATAAAGTTACAAGCACTGTACACAGAAAGATGTATATGGGACTACCCCCACACGTGCGTGACACATGCGTTATATTTATCAGGTCCAAATACATATAATAATTTACCAAATATATCACTTAGTAGGCGGTTTCTCAGCAAAATTTGTATGATCAGGTATTAGTCAAAACATATTCTTGCACATGATTGGTAATAAGAGCTTCAATTTCCAGAACTGGTCTTTACCTTTAATGCGGTATAAGAGAAAGAGAGTCAGCATAAACCTATTTTGCTTGCTATGGAGAAACTAACAAACCTGAGGTCCGAATCCACCACAGCTTTGCAAGTAAATAACACATGAAAACAACAAACATCTGGTCATGTGTTTCATTTTCCTCGGTCTAGTCTTGATTTAAGGTAGATTGGTAGAATATGTTTTACCCCTTTAATGGGAAAGGGGAGGCAAACACACTGCAATAGATAATGTATGGTTGTTAATTTAGCAAAGATTTTATTTTCACAAGTTTTTGTGAAGTTCCAGATTTAACATTTCCTGTGTCAGTGTCATCCCTGAAGATATTAGGACCTGTACATAAATACATGTACACTGTATGTACTATGTACTGGCTATATATCATGACAGATCTATGTCACAATCCAATATTTGGGATCTTGCTACAAATTTATTACAGTGTAGGCCTACATCATCTATCCCCACATTGTGACTACCACTCTTAGGCTAGAAGAATATAATCTCCCCCCCCCCCTTCTTGATTGAGACAAGTTATTAAAGGTAAAGACCAGTATTGGCAACGCCCCAATTTCAAAAAATGAAATGGAAGCTCTCATTACCAATCATGTGAAAGAATATGTTTTGACTAATACATGATGATAACAAATTTGCCGGGGAAACCGCCTACTAATTCATATATTTGGTAAATTTATTTCTCTCATGGTCTGGTGAGAGAGATAGGGTAGTCCCATATACATCTTTCTGTGTATAGTGCTTGTAACTTTACGAAGAATGGGCCAAATTTCTTATCATTTTGATGATTCCAGAACCTTGCAGATGCTAGATGCTAGATGATCAACCTTTTCTGATCGATTCCACAACGTTTCTTTCACAATGCGATCGCATGACCATTACTGGTCTTTACCTTTAAAGAGATCGTTTTACAATGTTAAAGCTGAGATGCACGGCCCTACGTGTTATGTGTCTGTGATATGGTGTTATATTGAAGCCCTAAAAAAAAATTGCGCTTCAAAATGATCAAGAAGTGCCTCAAAAAAGTAAAAACCTCTTAGTTTCCCCCAATAGAATGTAGAGTTATGAAAACTGTTTAGAAAACGCAAAATTTGATTTAGATTTCCAATCATAAATATCTTGTTAATCAGACAGGTGATCAGCTTGTAAAAGGTACTCTTTCACATATATCTCACCCATTCCTTTACCACGGAAATAGGGATATTTTAGGGTTACTCTCCAAACCCCAGACTCAGTCAAATCTATTTTATAGAGAGAAGGGGCATACAAAAATCATTTCACCTGGAAGCCAGTCTACTTCAACCAGATGAAAGAATTAGATCTTGTTTACTCTGTTCTCCTGAATTTTCTTCTCAGTCATTACAGGATTATGACCTTGACAGCTGGCATGATTTGGGCTTTTTGAACATATTCTTGCTTCTGACACCCAGCTCTCCACTTACCAGTATACAATTTACATGTATACATTCCTACTCCACTCATCAACAAAAGTTGGTAGGCACAAAATATTGAGTTTTACCTCTATGCACACTGGTCTGTCGGTCGTTCATTCAGTTCAGCTAGGCATCGGAGTGAAATGCATTATTGCCCCTTCTAAATTATTTTGATTGATTCTGGAACTTATAGACTACAATCAATAATAAGGCCAACACTATGTCCTTTTAAAATGTAGGATGGTATGCAATGTATATGTACACATGTATACAAGGCTTATTTACACCTTAAATCCATACTCTACTATTTTGATCTACTAAAAAGCCTGTCTAGGATCCCGAACACAAAGCTGAGAAATTGATTTTTGCAATTGATTGCAGATACATAGTTATCAATGCATTAAATCAGAATCAATCATATAATCAATTGCTAAGGTTTGTGTTATGGGACCTTCACCAAGACGTCATTCCAAATTAACATCACATCGTTACATTGGCTTTGTTCTGCTGTCATATGGACATGCAGTCAAGTACATACAGGCTGCGGCGGTACGTTTGAAAGCTACACGGGTACGACTTCTTGTACACGTATACACAGCCGATTTTAAAAAAAGGTGTTTACTTATGCCCCTCCACCTTGCACTGCGCCGGGCGATGCTCACCTGTGCCTAGCCTATAATCTAGGCGGAGTGCCGAGCTTTTTTCTTTGCTGCTAGACTAACCTTAAGCAGAACGTCTGATACGGCGAGACTACGAACCGTGAGTCGCGAAGCGGCTCACCGCCTATAGCCACTGGTCTAGCTTTAGTCGTTTTTTTTTTATTATCGACCATGAATCCGAGGCAGTTTTTCGTACGAAAAAACCTCATGAATACGAAATGAACTCAACCAATCAGAAACACGTATGGAGAAGAGTCTATGCATATGCATATTATAAATCACGTGACATTACGTCATTTTCTTCATCATCCAAGATGGCGGGTAGTTCATGCGACGACGATCTTCTGCGAGAAAGTTTATTATATGCGGCCAACAAACTAGGCATTCCTAATGGAAAATTCAGGGAACTGCAGGAATCCGCTATTCGTAGCGTTATTGAAGCCGGCAGGGATATTTTTGTTGCATTACCTACTGGTTTTGGAAAGAGTGCAATATTCCAAGCAATCCCCTTGTGCTGTGACTTTCTACGCGACCACGGATTCTATGATGACTCGAGTCGTTGCCGTTGGCAGAACGAAAGTACCGGTACCACTAGTGGCACTACTGGCACTACCAAAACAACGTCGATCTGCTTGGTAATTTCACCATTGATTGCATTGATGAGATCGCAGGTGACGCAGCTTCAGAGCCTTGGTATTTCTGCCGTGTATTTGAATGATGTATCTCCGAGTTCAGCCGAAGAGCACGACCTGATAAATGGATGTATTTCCATCGTTTACATGAGCCCGGAAAGTGTTTTGGGGAAAAGAGGCAACGACGTGTTGATGAGCCCAAAATGGCAGCAGAACTTGTGTGCAGTGGTAGTGGACGAAAGCCACTGCATCACCAAATGGTAAATAATTTAAATTAAATTAGATCCGTGGAATAGGCCAGAAAAGACTAATTAATTTTAAAGTTAGGTGTTAAAGGTATTAAAGACCAGTATTGGAAACGCCCCAATTTCAAAAAATGAAATGGAAGCTCTCATTACCAATCATGTGAAAGAATATGTTTTGACTATTGTCTACATGATGATAAAAAAATTGCCGGGAAACCGCCTACTAATTCATATATTTGGTAAATTTGTTTCTCTCATGGTCTGGTGAGAGATATAGGGTAGTCCCATATACATCTTTCTGTGTATAGTGCTTGTAACTTTACGAAGAATGGGCCAAATTTCTTATCATTTTGATGATTCCAGAACCTTGCAGATGCTAGATGCTAGATGATCAACCTTTTCTGATCGATTCCACAACGTTTCTTTCACAATGCAATCGCATGACCATTACTGGTCTTTACCTTTAATGCAGTTTTGTATCCACCGCACTAGCAATACACTGCCCGTCTACGTCTGCAAGCAGACGGGCAGTGTATTGCTACCACCGCACAAGAAAGGATAGAGATCATTGTAGGGTTACGGCGGCGACTGGGGCCATGGGACGTGACTGGGTTGGACCTAACGTTAGCTATATTATGTATAGACCCTAGATCTATGTCTAACTTACGGCGATCACGTCGAATAGGGGACCAGTCGTGGCAAACATACCCGAAACTCCACCCTACACCCTAACCCTAATCGGCGGCCTAACGCTAAAACCCTTTCCCTTCTCGTGTTATTTTTTCCGGTCCCCTACTCGACGTGATTGCCCTAACTTACTGTAAAACTAAAAGACAATAATTTTACGATTTTGGACTAAGTTAGGAGGGGAATTTCGCGAGAGCTTGAATCTCGTTTTTTTTGGTGATATTAAAATAGCCAGGACTGTCTCGCAACATGCGAAAATAACGTATACAGTATTTATTATTCATATACCGGTATTTTATTCTTAAGTTAAAAAAAAAATAAACACACTGTGATGTTTCATTTTGAAATGAGATTTAAAAGCATCAAAATGTTTATATTCTTGCACTTTTGTTTCTAATACAGGGGTCAACATTCAAAGAAGGTGGCTGCCTTCAGGACGAGATATGGACGCTTGGCAGAGAATCGGTCACTGGTACCGCCCTCTGTGCCAATGGCCAGCTTCACTGCTACTGCCTCAGCTGCTATGAGAGGACAAATCATCCATTCCCTTTCTCTTACTAATCCCATACTTGTAGAGAAGTCCCCAGACCGTTGTAACATCAAGTATTCATGTATTCAAGTGAAATCGACAGAAAGCCCCAAAATCTTCAAGTCTCTTCGGGAAGAACTCCACTTGAAGAAAAAGACAACAGAAAGAACCATCATCTTCTGCAGAACACATAGGCAGTGTCGTGAACTGTACGAATACTTTAAAGCGGGTGTCGAAGATCGTGACATTTTCGCAATGTACCATAGCACCACAGATCAGCCTCAGAAAGATCGCGTGTTGGCATCATTTGCAGAAAGGGGAGGTGTTGTGAGAGTTTTGTTTGCAACTGTGGCTTTTGGGATGGGGGTAGACTGCAAGGAACTTAAAAGAATATACCACTATGGACCCCCTGAAGACATTGAGGACTATGTGCAGGAGACAGGAAGAGCTGGAAGAGGAGGAGAAGAATCTGATGTTGTTCTCATTAACTATAAAGGTTGCACAAGATATAAAGTGTCTGACGACATGAAGGGGTATATGGCCAACAAAGATACATGCCGCCGTTCTGTGTTGTTAGCAGCGTTCGGAGGAGATGCCGTAAATGCCGACACCAACAAACATAGATGTTGTGACATTTGTGCGAAATTGTGCGAGTGTGGCAAGGAAGATTGCAATAAGGAAGTATTTGAATGTGTAGAATCAGAAAAGAAAAGGCTTCATGAGTTCCAGCAATGTCGACATGTTACTCGGGAAAAGAAGGACAAACTCCTTAGTCGACTCACTGATTTGCGTGGATCTGTTGTGGCAGGTTCCAGTGCTGAGCTACTTGCAGGTTGTGACCTCAGTTCAGGAATCCCCCTTTCTGAGCTGAATTCTTTCGTTGATAATTGTGACAGGATAAATTCTTTTGATATGTTCACAACATATTTTCAGTTTTTTGGACATGAACAGGATATTTGGGAAATATTTGTTTCTGAATGCCAAGATCACTGTGAAATAGAACAATTTTCTTATTCTGATTCATTGTCATCAGAATGTGAAAACCAGTGTCCAGAGACCTTGCGTGGTGTACTCGTTTATTCATCAGAATCGGATTAAAGACACTTTTCTGTTAGTTTGCATCATGACTATGCACCAACAGGTTGATGTTGCAATTTGTTTGCATACATATGTACGATAGCCATAATTACTATTCTTATCTATAGGGATTTTTTATCTTATTTGCGCTACTGATTCTTGGTCATCACTTTATAGGTTTTTTTTTTTTTTACATGTTTAAATTATGTTGTTGCTTTTTTTATTCTTTGTTCTACTGTCATCGTACTATAGCCTCTGCTCTTATACATGCATGAACGGTTTGACCAATGCGTTCTATATTTAATTTTTTTTTTTCTTGAATGACATGTTTTAGTTCTGCATTTCAAATGTATTCTTTTGGCATTTTTTTTACCCCATGTGTACATGTAAATACATTTTAAATTTCAACTACTTTCAATGAGCATGATGTACGCAACAGATATGAGCCGAGTATCTATGTTTAATTGTTAATGAACTTTTGTTTTGGAGACTTCCATTTACTTGTAATAATTTTTTGGACAGTACATGTACATGTATGTCACATTGATTACATGAATGCTTATTGTTTTAAGTGTTTTTAATGAATAGACAAAGATGTATTTTATGGTAGTACATGTATGTATGGGTATTACATGTTAGGTATTTTGATTGAAAGGAGAGGTGCTGAGTTTTTATTTGTTTGCTTGTTTTTTATTACTATTATTTCGTCTGGTACCCCCCCCCCCCCCCCCCCCAAATAAAAAAAAAATAGAAAGGGAAAGGGCACTTTATGCGAATGACCTGTTCTTTGCCAACATAGAGGTTGAAACCTTTGAAAATTCATATTTCATGCTTGTCCAATTTGGGGAAGTATTTTATTTGACAGTTGCATGTGCTTTCTTGAATTCAAGTCATTATAATGGTGGGAGTTGTATTTTGTGTACACTGGCTCAAATACAAATTTAGCTAGACATTTATTTCATTCAGGATTTATGTTATGCTGCTGGCTATGCCAGGTTATACGATAAACCTCATGAGGACACCAGTTGATATAAAATAATATTGTAAAACTCCTCATAAATACATTGTAGATGGATTTTTTTTTATCAATGTTTAGCAATATAGCAAGCTACAAAAATGTAATTGTCACTACTGTCCTTATAATCACAAATATGTATTCATCAAAATTATTTTTGTTTTGTTTTTAGTTAAATACTTGTAAACAAGTAATTGGAAGTACAAAACATTTTTTTTTTTTTTTTCATAGTGTCGTACATGTATATTTCTAAGGATACGTAATTTAGCAATGATCCTTAGTCTTGTTTTTTGTTTTTTTTGGAACGTGTACCTGTTTATCATGGTATAATGTAATTCAAATACAATGTCCAAAGATATTTTTAGTAATGAATTTAAAGATTCTTGACATCAGATTGTGATGTACATGTACAACCCGTTTCTCTTTGACAGAGACCCACATGTACATATTTTGAGGAAACGGGCTATAGTACATACTAATTGACTACTAACTTATTGTAGTCAAGGCCACTATAGGTACATTTCGAGGGAGACTTAGATAATAACGTTGAAGGTCCAAATGTCTGGTCGGTTGGTTTGTTCTGTCCATCCATCTGTAACACTTCATAAATAAGACTTTCAACCTTAAGATTACAGAATACATGATATGTTACTTTTTTGTTAGTCTTTCCTCATCCTGTTCATGCATTTTGATTATCTTTCTGGTGCATACTTGTATTGTGCATCAGTACATTTATAAAATAATGTATAACAACTGAAGTATTTTACTGAAACTCCCGATAGTAGCACCATCGTCAGTGTATTTATTGGAAAGCTATTAAAATAAACTTTCAATGTAAATTTAAAAATACATGTGCCAAGTGTCTGTTATGTTGCATGCAAAAGTGTACTGTAAATTTATGAGTTTGTGTGTTTTTGGGGTGAATGTTGAGCACTGTTTTTAAGCCAGAATCAGCATTTTAAAGGAATATTTCATTAAAATGATAGTGTTCTATTCTTTCATCTCTCTCTATAATGGAAATACAGATTTAAAACAGCAATAATTCATATAAAAATATTTTGTTTTGACCACGAGCTTGCAAGTACATGTACCTTGAAAATATGTGTCCTTTTGTTTTCCTTCCAACAATTTTGTTTCATACTGCTGATTTTGGCTTTTTACCCGAGCTAATGTAGGACATGGGGAAAATATATAGGCTTACTTAAATGTAGATAAATACAAAAATTCTATCTTTATTGTTATAATTAAAGCTTTCAAGTTTCCAGACTTGATATTAGCCTATAATCTAAGCGGAGTGTTTAGCTTGTTTTTTTGTTTTTTTTAATGTTAGGCTTACGTTTAGCCTAACAGCAAAGAAAAAAAGGCTTAGCACTTCGCCTAAATTATAGGCTATGATGATATACGTACAGTCCACTCCTGTAATAATGAGCCCATAATTCAAAATTTGGAAGGCAGTTCTCCTGAACCCAATTTGAGCAACCCTGTTCAGTATATATATAAACAAGATTTCATTATAGCAAAGTAATTGGCTTTGTTCAAAGCACCTCTTTATAACCAGTGGCGGATCCAGGAGGCGCAACAGGTGTGCATCCCTGCTAATTTCTGAAATATTTCCGACTGCACCCCCTTTATTTTTTTCTAATTTTTGGTCTGGTGACACCCCTCCCCCCTTTTTCACATCCTGGACCCACCACTGATAACAGGAGTGGACTGCACATGTATAGATTAATCATTAAATCCATTACTTCATCAGAAAAGAGAAACCAATAAATTATATTCATTCATCCTCTGGATGTCCCAGATTTTACTGTTATCAACAATTTAAATTGCAACATGAAGTTACTCGGACTGCACAAATTTTGACTAAAATATAACAATTTAATATTCTGTCTTTCTCAACCTTGAAACTTTTTTTTTTAATGCATTCTTTATTCCTCTCTGCTTTTAAACACTTATTTATCTATCTCCATACAACGTTGCTTATTTTACAAACTGATGTACATACACCCTCTGCTACAAGTACTTATATGAACCAGCATAGAAAATTAGCAGGGGTAAACTGAAACAAAAACGGTTTTGTTTTCTTTTGGGTTCTATTATTATCATCAAATTTCCTTTGTGTGTTGTGTTTTCTTTTTTTTTGGGGGGGGGGGGGGGGTGTCGAATGCATGTGAAACACAATACTTCACTCTCATCCCCCATCTCATTGTAAGGTAATGGATGACTTCTGTATCCATATTAGCATTTCAAAAAGACATTATAAATATAACAGATTAGGCTAAAGAATATGCAAAGATTTGAAGAAAAAAATGCCTACTCGACTATCATAGTTACGTTTTCAGTGATCAGAAAGACTTGAAAGACTGCCCCTTTTCTGCTCAGTAGAATGAAACTTCAGGATTCTAAACAAATTTCTGAAAGGGTGAATTTAGTTTTTCATGTATCTACACATGGTTGGCAGTCATCAATTCTCATCGTCTTGCATCCACCCGGATTACTACTTTGAATAATTGTTTCAATGACTCACAGGTTAGATTCTTTTAAAAATATATATATTCACTAATTGTATTGCAGTATCAGTAAATTGCCAACTAGACTACAGTGGAAGCCTGTTATAAAAGACACTGTTTAGTAACAAAAGGTGGTTTTGCCTGTCCCTTTTGTTTGTATTCTATCGTTTTTTATTATCATTTTATTTGCCAGCCCTAATTTGACAAGGCTTCGATATAAAGAGGTAATTTAATTGGTCTGGAGGAGTTTTGCAAACCATTTGTTCAAAACTTACTTGTTGATCGTATGGAACATTGTTCTTCTCTTGACCAAGCACATTTGTCAATTAAGAATGAAACCAAAATACATTGCATATACATTACTGAAAAACAAAAAGATAATACATGAAATAATCTATGCACTATTGCACACATTTATAGAGTAATGCACTTTCGGATTTTGGCAGTAACTGGCAGATAATTTCATATGTCTAGTGAAAACACAAATTGGCAAAGAAAATGAAATGTTCATTTGCAACGTAGCCGAGAAGTCTTCACATTACCAATACATGTAACACAAAGAATACTTTTTTTCAGCACAAATAATAACTGCCACAATGATAATACCAATAATAATGACACGGAGAATAATAATAATGATAACAACAACACTATCTGTGACTTAAGCGAAAATGGTACTGGGCCATCTTTTGTGCAGAATTCTTTTATGGTCAAGCTGGGTCAATCAAAAGATTCATTCAATATATTTTGTTCAGTTTAGTGACACCATCTACATGTTTTTAAGTAAGCTACATGTAATCGAATGGTATAAGAAAAGAAGATATTATCATATCACTATTGTTATCATATCATATGACATTATATCATATTGCCAATTTCCTTTTTTAGTCGACATTGTATTTGTATGTACGCCACATAATACCAAAAATATAGAATTATCCCTGAGATTTTAACACTGTGTTTTGCTATGCAAACCCTTAAATGTATTGGCTAAGGTCTTAAGAATAAACAAGACAAATGCGAATGCGTCTGCTATATGCCTCCGCCTTTTAAACCAGTAATTTCAGAAATTGACCTCTGTGACCTATGACTTTTGACCTCATTATACCAAAAATCTAGTCAGCTTGTTTTCCTATGAAGACCCCATCAAATTTGAAGTTCACATCTCAAGGGGTTCTGAAATATCGCCATAATGAGGCCAATACCTGGAATTTTATAAGTTGACCTCTGCGACCCTTGACCTATGAACTACGCATTCCAAAATAAAATCAGATCATCTTCATATGGTGATACATACTATCCTCAAGTCTGAAGTTAATATCTCAAGTCAAAGGTCAAGGGTCACAGAGGTTTACTTGTAACATCCAATCTACAGCTTGACAAAGGAAAATCACAATAAAATCCTCACAATCTACAACTCGGTTTCTTAAGGGTGGCTTTCATCCATCTCTGTAGATCAGGCAAGTCTAGCTGAGTCAAGGGATTCTTTGGATAGCTTGGGAAAGCATGATGCCTGCGACTTTGCTTCTCCTGGAAGATCCTTTCTTTATGCATGGCTGTCGCTAGTTTCTGGACATCACCTGTAGTATCTTTCCCAGCATGGAGTCCTTTCTTTCTCTGTACATGCGAAACGTTATCGCAAGTCACCAGGATTTCTTCAATTTCTTGCGCCGAGTGACTAACCCGTTCCACAGAAGCTTCGCTAATCTTGCCATTGAATTGCTTGCACTCTCCCTTCAACACTTTATTCTGGTGTTCATTTTCCCTGTCCACCTCTTTGTTTGTGTCAGCCTTTCCCTCCTTGTTCACGAACCTGTTCCAAGTGAGCTCAAAGGCTAGACGAGGTGACAGCATACACTCCACTTGGGCCAAGAGTCTCAACGACTGAAAACTGTACTTGGTACGATGAGTTCGCTTGAAGTACAGTAGCAAGTACTTGTATAAACGAATTAATCTGGCTCCATCTCCATATCTTCGTGCATCCTGGAAATCTCTAAACAACAAACAAATGCTTACTGATGCACAACTGTAGTTGTAAACACTGTCTTCTCCATCTTGTGTCGAAGTGTCAGAACTAGCTTGAGGTGCTTGTTGTGAATGCTTATCTTCCATATGCTTTCTGATTCCGCTCAGCCGCTTATATACCTTCTGGCAATGAGGGCACACATAGTCTGCTTGCTTCGCAAAGTCTGGCCCTTCATGAAGCGCAAATTTGTCAACAATGCTGTGAAGCTGCTCTTTCACATAGACGGTGGGATCCATGGTCATGGGGTCATAAGGGTGTTTTGTGGGCTCCGATGTCACTGCCTCCATTCCGAAGTGCTCCAGTGCAGCACAAACTATGAGAGCTTCTGTGTATTTGTCAAGAAACTCCACTGAGGCATTGATGTCCTTCATTGGATCATTGGACACATTGTGTGCTCTCAGGAAGTTTCTGGCAGCATACATAGTGCCAGTGTCCCTTGCTGAACTTGTCGAATAGAGAAGAGTCCATATGGCCTGAAAAAAATGAAAAATATGTATGGGGTTTAACATCATTTCATTAATAATGGAAATGTTGAATGTCATATACTGGGCGTATCAGAAAAAGGGAAACCCAACTTCACGAATCATTGCGGACAATAGTGTATAATATGAAAGCATAGGTCTTAAGTTTCTCAATGATGCCTTGTTTTGCTTAAAGGGTCATGCATCACTGAACACCATTGTCTCTCTTTTTTTTTTTTGTATAAGAATGGTGGGTTCACTTTGGACTATTTTCAGAACAATGGTGTTCATTGATGCAAAGACTTAGTACATTTTAGTTACATTGTATCATTGGCATGTTAAAAGGTTGTACATTTGGTAGATATGATTGTCATGGCAATTTGTTTAATTGTTTTTTTAAATAAACAATTTTGAAATCAGGTTTCCTTTTGTTCTGATACGCCCAGTATATTAATTCAATTAAGGGCGGAAAGGGAACAAACTTACACAAATACAATGCATGTGCTATTACGAATTATCTTCAAATTGAGATATAATTTTGAAGTATACCGAGCTGCATTTCACTTGTACCATGAGGCACTTATCTCAAAGTTTACATTCTATGTAACAGAAATTTAAGGAAAATAGCGATGGTTATTAGAATACTAGTATAACAACCCCATATATTGGTACTGTTATGCCAAAGTTAAGAGCATATGAATATTGACTAATATGCATAATAAATACTGAAAGCAACCCTGTTGTCTACTCACAAATAAAATACATGTATTGAATAGAGGATTTTCTAGCCCTCCCACAATGAATGGTACTTACTGATAGGAAGTTTGCCATTGTGTGGAAGTCGTCTATCACTGGAACCAAACCATCCCAGCGAGCCATGGGTGAAGGACTGTCCTGTCGGTCCAGAATGGTGTTGGTCTCCCTCTCACAGGTTAGGAGATCGCCTCCACTGATGATTTTAACAGGAGTGGTTCCATCAGTCTCTACAGGAACATACTTGTTCATATGATCAAGTATTTCAACCATTCCTTCATGGGTATTTTCATTTGAAGTGAGGACTCCCAGATTGACCTACAAAAGAACAAAAAAATGAAGAAAAAAAAAATCAACATTAGCTTTGTCATACACATACAATTGATGTACGAGAGGAAGCTTGTATTGGACCCTGTCAATGGTGGTTGCATCCTTCTCAAGTATCTGTCCTCCTTGTTATTTAAAACTATCAATGAATTGTTATAGGGGCTGATACAATCTCCCAACCCAAGTTTTCTTAAATTGGTAGAAAAGATTAATCATTGTGATTTTTCAAACAATAAATTTAGAATTTGCATTCAATATAATTCATACTAGGTATCATACTTCTGTTTTGAAGCAAGAAAAAATCTGTTCAGACTATGCTTAAAATAAAAGATTTATATTGAATTATAATTACCACTTCACTTTTCTTTTTCATCTCTTTCATGAAAGGATGGGGGATGTGTTCCGGCAAGACAGATGACATCCAGCACAAAGGGGGGATGTTCTTTCCTATTACTTGTGCAATAAGATGCAACCAGTCCTCTCTCAAGTCAGCATTGTCTTCTACGGAAGGTAGAAATGTTGACAGTGGCTCCTTTTCTACATCTCTTTTGGGACCGTCTGAAGACAGCGAAAAGTCAGCCACCCTATTCTTGACTGCAAGAAACTGGAAGTAATGCAGATCAGTGGTTCCTTGGGCAATCGTCATTTGCCTTGGCGAAATCCGAAAGTCCACATTGTCTCCATTCAACATAAAGCCACGGTGTCTTTCGGCATTATGTTTTAGGAGAGCAGATTTCCCATCAGGATCTTTAAGGAGGTCATTCTCCTTCTGCACATCTTTCTCGATCGTTTCTTTCCATTCCAGGACCTTCGCGTTGTAGTCTTTTCCGAACTCAACTTGTTTCCTGAGAATTGTTTTATAGGATACGGAAAAACCTCTTGCCTTAAGACGGCTGATGGTCTTAAACCCACACCCACCTCTCCTTACTGATAGGGCATTCATTACTTGGTGAGAGTTCATCCGCTCATTCCTTGCATTCAGAAGAACACCAGCAGCTCCCAGTATGCCCGGTTGAATAGATCTGTAGGTCTTCCTTGGATTTGCTCGATTTCCTGCCTCAATCCCTGGACTTACAGCAGCAGCCTTTATGCATGTCAGAAGTGTGGGGGCCTTTTCTTGCAGCTCTTCTTCTTGAGCTTGGTAGGACCATTGCTGAGAATAGGGGGAGAGATAGATAATAGGTGAAATTGTTATTTTTGTTTAATGGTAAATTTTATCTTTCTATTACTATGGAAAAATCAATGTCTAAATGGACTACATATTACATTTACTACAATTTTTTTTACACCGACATATATTTCATTAAATATACAGGGGCCGCGGAACCAAGGGTGAGGGCTTGGGTGGGATTGCAGCCCCCCCCTTTTTTTAGTACACACAAACAAACACGCACAAATGACAATCAAGATTATGCGTCTTCGCCTGCACACCTCCCCTTTCAAAAACAGTCCTTAGCCCCCCAAAACAAAAACATAAGTATACCCCTTAATCAAAATGGTGTAACTTTTCATCAAAAAGGTTTTTGAGCAAAATGAATTTGCAGGAGTGTTCTTAACTTATTGATTTAAAAAAAAAAATCTGACTCAGGCAATGTCAGTATTCCCATGGAAATATTTATCAGTATTACTGTTATCATCATCATTATAAAAACAAAAAAATAAAAACAACTAATACATGAAATGAGGCTTGAAATTTCAGCTAAATGTAAAGGCAAATATCAAATCATTCAGCATACTCACTTGTAATTTCTGCTTTGTTGTATTACCAAAGGAAGATTTTAGTGGATCACTGCAAAGATTGGCACATTCATTGTTGATCGATGAGGCAGTGCACTTGTGCATCTCTTCTGCAGCACCTGGTAATTTCTGTAGACAGCTGACGAGCTCCCTCAGATCTCCTTCCCTGCAGCATTGACAACATTCTGGAGGTGGACTGGAATTTTCCTGATCTCTTCAGATCCTGAATCTGAACTTGTTATAAGTGTCATCTGTTGAATAAAAACAGAATGTTGAGTCAACTTTGTAAAAACTGAACGCATTACTCAATTAACCCTATACGATTTCCATTTACCTCTAGATCTACTATACATAAACTATATAAGATGAAATGAATAAATACATCCTATTTATAACTATGAAATAAACCAAACATCAAACCAAGATAAAATCACAGCTTGAAAGTGAAATCACTGCATTACTTTCTTGAGGGTGTTGTAGCATAATTTAATTTACTCATTGAAATGACAACATGCATTTTAAAAGTCGCTTTGTGGGCTCTACATGTCATTTAGGTTTACGGGAATTGTCTTGTGGTTTCATACATTTCATTTAATTTGTATTTTTGCATGTACAGCACCACGAACGTCATACCTGACCATGCCGACGGATATGGGTGCTTAAATATAATATATAAGAAGCCACCAGCACTATTATTATTATTTTATTCATAACGTAAGGAACTTAATCATGCGAGAATCCAGGATTTGATCCCCAGCATGTCATGCAGTGTAAGTTAATGTCAATAATGAGCAAGGCATCGAATCTCCGTACTGTTAAGTGTTTTATCATGTTTGAAATCAATTCAAAAAATCAATCCAAAAAAAATAGATCAAACGTTAAATCTATTTAACGTTTGATCTAGATTTAGTTGATAAAGCAGCTATGACTGAGCTAATGACGTGAATACGTGTGTGTTTATAAGACAGTATTACAAGAGTATTGGCATTATCGTGGTTTCGGAAACCACCATTCACTACATTACATAGACTCTTTCAGTCTTTGCTTTATTGCATGTGAGCGAATGAGCGGTGGTTTCCAAAACCACGATATACTATAGCATGAATATTATTTGCTTGCATTTAATAGTTGCAATGAAAATTCTAAGCCAAATAGTAATAGACATAGATCTAGGACCTAACGTCCGACAAAAAAATAACGTTAGAGCCTAGTTCTACATGATCTAGTAGAGCCAGAGGCTAGATCTAAAATCTTAGTTAGGCAACGACAACTTTCATTTTCACTCACCTCAGTGGATTTTTTCCTTTCCTGATATTTCAATCTTCTCCGACCTGCAGCAATACTTCCAATAGGCTTGTCTGGAAACCTCGAAGTGGTTAAGCATGGTGTGATGCTAGACTGCGAGGCCGGGGCCAAGGGGGAGGCCGATGCCGATGGCGATGGGGATGAACTTTCACATCTCGTCTTGCTTTGGCGATGCTGCAATGTCGTGGGGGAATCTTTGAGCTTGCTCAGACGTTTAAAACGGCCATCACCAGCAGCTTTCATTGGCGACTTGGGCTCTCCTTGACCATCAACAACGAAATTGTTGAGGCATAACATTGCCAGCGTAGCATTAAGTTTATTATGGCATGATCGGCAGATATACCCCGCTTGCTTCGTGAGGCTGTCCTCGGCAAGAGCTTGGTCATCGACATCGTTTGACCGATATGGGCCTGCACTATCCCCTGCTACGGGTGCCTCTGCAGGTGCTGCATGTAGAAATCCAGTCGCGATGATTTTCCGAGCAATATCCTTACTTACTTTCTTGTAATTTCTACAAGTGAGAATGTTTTTATCACATTTCAAGCAAGACCTAGATTTTCCACTTGGCCTAGTGGCAGAAATACTACTCATGATCCATATTGTGCTAGACATCATTGCACAACTTTTGATAACTTTAGCTGTAACTTTTAGCATGCGTGCAGCACGATTTTAATATTTTTTGGTTGTTCATAAGAAGTATAAAAGTTAGTCTTTACAATTAGAACTCACAACCTTCTATTCTTACATAAAATTGATTACGCATGCAAAAACAATACAAACTGTCCTATATTAAACTTTGATAACTTTTCTGGCACTTTGTGAGGAGACTATTTAGCGGTCCATTCAAAGCAAGGGGGAACAACTAATTTGTCATTGTAAATTTGATACGATAATTGTTTTACCATACAAAGATATATGTTTTATTGTTCACATAAAACTACAATTTTTTAATTTTTTGATATTTCACAGTAGTAAAATGATCATTTTAAAGATTTTTTTGGTTTCATCTCCCCTTCTTCCTTTTTATTACCCCTATTTAGTAATGGACGAGCGCAAACTTTTTTCGTTGCGGTTTCTTATATCTGATTGGTCGAACGTAACATAGGTGTACCTTATTTGGTAGGGCTGTTGAATGATTCATAGATCCGCCATTTTGAATATATATGAATATTGATTAGCTAGACCAGTGGCTATAGGCGGTGAGCCGCTTCGCGACTCACGGTTTGTAGTCTCGCCGTATCAGACGTTCTGCTTAAGGTTAGTCTAGCAGCAAAGAAAAAAGCTCGGCACTCCGCCTAGATTATAGGCTAACCTGTGCCCGGAAGAGCACCGGCATGGTACCGTGAATAAAAATGTTTTGCAGCTCAATCATACATGGAGTGTCATTGTCAACTCACCACCACTCGGAAACTAGAACAAAACTAGCTGCAAATGTCTGGATTTCTGTTTGGACTGTGAGGAAACTTTGTCAGTCATCTTTAGTTTTAAAAACAACATTTTACAAGCTCACAAGCACAAATCGACGCCTTCAACTGCACCTCACGGTTAAATGAAGGTCCTTCCCCGTGTGGGTTTTTTGAAGACTGGACGGACCTTGGGTGCTGCCTAAAAAAATTAAAAATCTGAGAAGCGCCACATCTTGGTGACTGTTGGCGTAAATATGATTTATCGTAGCGAGTGCTGTGCAGTATGGTAGCCATCCAACACTCACTGAGAAAGACGGAAAAGTATCAAGTATTCACTTAATAGAAGCCAATTTTTCATGGAAAACTGATGTGTTGTGATGACTTGAAATAGATATTTAGCAACTTTGAATGAGTGAAATCACAACAACAAAAAGGCTAGGTATTGATGGTATTAGTTTTACAATTTTTGTTTCCCTGCCGTGTCTAAAATTTGGGGTCTATAAAAAAAAACAGAACGTCAACGACGTAGCGCTCATCCGCATCTCGCAACAACAAATATTGTAAATTTTATGTGGTACACTTTTGAACTGGTCAAAAAATAAAAATTTGATGCCCTTGAAGGGACATAATTTCATTTAGCTGTACAAGATTAAATAGCATAAATGGCATAAGCTAATCAGGCCCTTTGGGCCAGATGAGCTAAAAACCATGGCAGCCAAATACATGTGTATCCGCCCATATACCTATGCGTGTACCGGTACACGCTTATGCACAGCCTTAACATGTATTCAGTTGAACTCTTTTAAAATTGAGTGTTTCATCTTAAACGCTTTATGAGTCTGCATAATTGAAGACTAGCTATCATTCATCATTGAGTTCTTGAACTCTGCAATGAACTAGTACTGCCATCTACCCCTGGGAAATAATTCTACCACTTCACAAGGTAGAGCAGGGTGGTTTCAAATAAAGGAATCATTGGCAAATCTCAAGATATTAGTACTGGTAAGTGGATGATCACTAAAAAACATGAAACTCCTACATTTAGATCTAGTCTCAGCGGAACATATCCCGAACACATTAGATAATTTTTCAGTCTACCGTAAGTTTAAAGTCATTTAAGTTATTGGTAGAATAAGTCCAACTTGTAACACAATGATGTAATTTTTTAAAACTTAAACAAATTCAACAATAACTAGATGGAATTCATCACCGGAGAGGGATTAGGTGATACGTATCACCGATTCCACACGTTATAGTGACATAAAATTCAAATTCCCTCTCTGTCAATTCTCAACTGAACAAACTTGGTTTTCGGTATTGCTACATGTACTCTCTAATGACACCCTTATAATTGTCATATTCACCTCCTAAATTGACATTGAAAATGTGAACTTTTGATCTCCCTTTGCACCAAGACGGTGCTGTATCATGTCCGTGTTAAGAAATATGATCGTTTTAAACTTCATCTTTTTGTGTACCAAATAGATAATTGTCTCAGCTACACATATTAAAAGTTGGAAGAAAATCATCATTGCTGACGAGTTAGGTGATCTTGGATCTGAATGAAGAAGAGACTATCAGAGTGGTTAAGAAATGCTTTACGAATGGCACCTGAATGGCACACGTTACGTATTAACTTGTGTCAATTTAACTATTATTTATTTTCCCCAACAGACTTTGCACATTAAATTGCAAGCCTTACGTTGGAATAAACAAGATTGGGGAGAGACTAATCTACAAGAATGCTTTCTTTCATCTCACAACATGTCTGATATGAAGGCAAAATGCAAGAAGGCAAATCTTTTTTTAATTTTCACAGGAAGTAATTGTTCCTGTGACATTTTACACAAAATTGATTGTGCAAAATTGACAATGCAATAATTCATAAAGTATGAAATGTATGGTAATGAGGACCTCAATTTGTGCCCTGCATGCAGCTGGCTGCTACATATTGGCACAAGCCATCCAATTTTTCGCGTAAAATATTTACCCCGAAAATATTTATACAAATTTGTGAACCATGCCAACATAATCATAATCCAAGCTTCTGCTTTATTAGTTTTTTCATGAAAACTCCATTGCAATCACAACAATAATAACGCAAATAGATCGTAATTATCGAGATCATACCTGACATAGTAGTTTGTTTACTGGTCAAACAGCGCATATTATAAAAATTGTCTAAATAAAAATAATCAAATCATATTTTTGATAGCACATATAGGCCATTTTCTATTTAACACTCCCCCCCCCCCCCCCCCCCACCATGCCGCCCTCTAGAATACCGTAGATTTTCCACGGGTCCTGCTAGTTAAATATTTAATTGTACTAAAACAGCAATTATGACAATAGCGGTAAACAAGTTTTACCATTCAGGGAAAACCCTTTGGGCGTTTCCTCAGATATGCCATGCATAGCATCAGCCGCCGTTTTACGTTCAGCCAATCAACTCGTCAACAAATGGTAAAAGACCATTACAGATCCGTGATTATAGGTATGTTGTGGAGTGTACAATTGTGTATTTGTTATATATTTTATTCAATAGATATATATATATATATATATATATTCTTTCAGGCAATTTTCTGACTCAGACGATGAGCGCACAAATCGTAGGCGTAGAAGCCTTACGGCCAGGCATTGGCCTCCCTATTAGTATTAGCCTAGTCTACATCTCATATTTTCTGGTAAAGTTTTCAATCTTTTTTTATTCCTAATTCATTTAAATAGATCTAGGGTATTCAGTCACTTAAGGGGAAATCACTAATATTTTGAATTTTTACCTCTTTTATTTTGCAATCTACCCATCAAAAGAAAGGAAAATTATTCCTCTAACACGATTTTATAGTCACTTAAAATAAAGAATGATGATAAGAAAAATATTTCTGAAAGAAGACAGAGCATTTTTCTGCTCAGAATTCGGTCACGCCGATTAGAATTCGGTCACGCGATTTGTGCGTGGTATCTCCGTTGCCAAGGATCGAAGCTTATTTGCGCACTATTTTCACACAATTGCGCGATAAAGCACTGATTGTCAATGCGTTGACCGAATACTGGACGAGCAATACCGCATGGCAAGGGCATCGTATAAATACCTCTTAGTCTTGCTCATCGATAAGTGCGTCATTTGTAAATTCGCTGCGATGGAGTGAACACGGAAGTGATTCTCTTCACACACATACTGAATTCAATGCGACAGCACACGTAGTTGTTTCGCAATAGACTTCTACATATGGCTATGCATGTTAGCGCATGTGCTAACAGAACGCGGAAGTGCAGATAGTTGTGCGACACCGACTAATTTCGAGCAAAGTTGGAGATCTTTCCCGGGCCCTATATCTGATTTAATTTTGAGAGTTAAGAAAAGTTGTTCAGCTGCCTGATTTGTGCAAGTTTCACTGCCCATTAATTATTTTTTTAATTTTTTAGCTCTTGAAACGGCTGTCTGACCGAATACTGGGAGCGCTACCCTAGATCTAGACCGAATTTTCCGTCTCTTTCGTTCGTTAAGCCTCTTATTTGGGTAGGGTCGGCACTCTCTTAAGAGACGTAAGCCGACTATACGCATTTCCTTGCTAACACCATGGCCATTTATGGCCATATTTTTATGCCCCGAAAATCAAAATGATTATGAAGGAAAAACTGTGCGCGAGCTACACGTTCGTAATGGCGTTATCACAGTTTTTCTTCATAATCATTTTGACTTTGGCGTAGACTAGAAGGGATGAGATTTAGATGACGTCATGCGCAGCGAGAGTTAAAATACGTCTCGCAAGATTTTCAACATGGATTTCGATTTCGACTCATAATTTCCTCAAAAGGGACCATTAAACGGATTATTTCAGTCAAGTTAGTAAGTGGAACCGATTTATTATAGCCTAGGCCTAATTTACAATATAACATGCACGAGGTAAAATGACATTTGGGGGATTTGCGGGGCATAAAATATGGCCATAAATGGCCACGGTGTTAGCAAGGGAATGCGTATAGTCGGCTTCCGTCTCTTAAGAGAGTGCCGACCCTACCCAAACAAGAGGCTTAACGAACGAAAAAGACAGAAAATTCGGTCTACCCTATATCTAGATTAGACAGAAATTTCTGTCTCTTTCATTCGTTAGCCTCTGATTTACCCTACCCAAATCAGAGGCTAACGAACGAAAGACCTTGATATAGTCTAGGGTCTAGGCCTAGATCTAATTTGTAGTTTTCCTAAAATTACTTTTTTTAAATCCGGTGAAATTACGACTAAAGTACTAAAGGCTAGGCTATGTCTTAGTTTAGCTCCTCTTCTCGCCGATAGTAATTAGTATCAATTTCACGAGATGTCTAGCTAAGTTCTTCGTGAAATTGTTTAGGAAAAATGAGAGACATCTCCGTAGAGTTGGTGGATTAAGTTAATATGATTATGAGTAGACTCTAGCCTAGGCCTAACTAACCGTCTTGTCGTTGGTTCCTAAATGAAAGTAAATCTGAAGAAAAAAAAATCGATGTGTTCACTGACCTCATTAACATCAAAGTCTAGGCACTAAAACCCACATAAATGTACTAGGCCTACTTAATAAAGAATGTTTTAATCACAACCTGACCCTCTTTGCAAAAGACTCCAGTACAGTCGGCCTATATGATTATGAGTAGACTCTAGCCTAGGCCTAACTAACCGTCTTGTCGTTGGTTCCTAAATTAAATGAAAGTAAATCTGAAGAAAAAAAATTCGATGTGTTCACTGACCTCATTAACATCAAAGTCTAGGCACTAAAACCCACATAAATGTACTAGGCCTACTTAATAAAGAATGTTTTTAATCACAACCTGACCCTCTTTGCAAAAGACTCCAGTACAGTCGGCCTAGTACTAGACCTATACTAGTAGTAGACCCTACACTACATATGGATTTCTACTAAACCACCGAATATCGCGTAGGATCTCTCGCTGAGCTATCCCACTACACATGGAGCAACAACATCCTCCAGCTCGGAGTCTCCAGTTTGGTGCCAACTAGATTGATTCTATAGCGATAATTTACCTGTGATTTAGTGGAATTATTTCCTCCGACAAAGTAATCATCTGAGTCACTGCTATCATATTCATCCTCGTAGCCGGCTGGTCGGTATGACATTTTCGAAGTATTCGGTGAGATAAGTTAGAAGTGAATAAGTTGTGTCCCGTAACTTTCGAACATGCGTCGTACGTACTAAGCTGAACCTAGCTAAGTAACTAAATGTGTATCGCGTTTTACATGTGCCATATCGCTAGTATATAGCGCACGTCACGCACGTGCGACGTACTTCCGTATTACGGTGGCAGATGAGCATCCAGGGGCCCTCTTTAGGGCCCCAGCTGGGGTCAGGGGGCAGAGCCCCTGGAAGCTCAGAGGTTTTAGGTCTTTAATTACGGTCAGATGAGCATCCACGGGCCTGCCTTGGGGCCTTATGTGGGGTTCATGGGGCAGAGCCCCCGGAAGCTCAGATGTTTTAGGTATTTAATTACGGATGAGCATCCAGGGGCCCTCTTTAGGGCCCCTGCTGGGGTCCAGAGCCCTGGAAGCTCAGGTTTTAAGTCTTTAATTACGGTCAAATGAGCATCCACGGACCCGCCTTGGGGTCTCAGGGGTGGTTCAGGGGTAGAGCCCCCTGAAGCTCAGGGTTTTTAGGTATTTAATTACGGACGGACGTCAGATAAACATACAGGGGCCCTCTTTAGGGCCCTGCTGAGAGCCCCTGGAAGCTCAGGTTTTAGGTCTTTTATTACGGACAGAAGAGCACCCACGGACCCGCCTTGGGTCTTAGGTGGGCTTCAGGGTAGAGCCCCCGGAAGCTCAGTGGTTTTAGGTATTTAATTACGGTCAGATATATCCAAGGGGCAGAGCCCCCTGAAACTCAGGGGTTTTAGGTAATTAGGGTCAGACGAGCATCCAGGGGCCCGCCATAGGGCCCTTCGTGGGGTCCCGGGGCGGAGCATTTAATTACGGCCAGATTAGCATATTTTGATACCTCCTTTGTTACATTGGCGGGTCACTCACTTTTTTCTTTCTTTTTTCCTTACTTTTTCTCTTAAACATACTTTTTCAAAATCGTGAGGGGGGGCTCTAGCCCCCGAGCCCTGACGTTCTGCAGGCCATAACAATCATGAAGGCTTCTAAATAATCAGATTTTTTCGCCCGACCGTAAATTTGGGAATTTGAAATTTTCCAATAAACGCATAAAAGGTACGATTTACAGACAAAAATACTACCGAAAATCATTTCATTACAGCAACATTTGTAAATCACTGGTATCAAATTAGAAATACCACCCCCCCCCCCCCCAATCAGTACGCCAGTGTTTAGGGGCTCATTTCTTCTCACCTCTAAAATAAAAAACACATACGCTTTCCCGTCATCTCACAATATTTCTACGGTATGATGCGCGTTGAATGGATATAATTTTCAGGTTGTATAATTTTCAGGTTGTATATTTGTATGTTCTTTGTTTTAAAAATACAAACCATTTTTACTCCTTTAATCCTTTTTTTTAAAGGGAGGTCGTTTTTCAGGGGGAAAAAACTGCGTTTTGCTCCCCCCCCCCCCTCCACTCTTTTTTTTTAGGAAGCTCGAGGTTTTAGGTATTTAATTACGATGGCAGATGAGCATCCAGAGGCCCTCTTTAGGGCCCTTGTTTGGGTCCAGGCCCCAGGGGACAGAGCCCCTGGAAGCTCAGAGGTTTTAGGTCTTTAATTACGGTCTGTTGGTTTTGCCCCCCCCCCACTTTTTTCTGCCACTCCTCACTTCCAGCGCCTTTGACTCCATCTCTTAAAACTCTTTGGTACCACTGGCCGTACCCTCGCTTGTGCGCGGATTATTTTGTAAATAAGGGAAGGTCTCGAAATTATGCTAAACCTGAAGGGACATCGCGAATAGACGAAATCGCGAATTATTTACGACGAAATTTACGCCGTCCTGGATTTCGTCGCCAATTTTGTCGTGAAGATTTTAGATTTTATTTGACTCTATCGACCCCCTTCAGGGGTATGAGAGCACAAAATTATTTGCAATGCAACACAGAAAGATATATATAAAAAAAAAAAAAGTAAGATATGATAATTTATAGACTTGATATATACATTTTTATATTTCTAAAACACAATAAACATTAATTAAAAACTAAGTATGAAATTTAAAATTATGAGTCTAAAATATCACGTGGTTTGGTTTGTCTACCACTACGAGGCTACTTTTTTATTGACAAAAATACGACTGGCATAGTCTGAAAGGCATTTTCAGCCTTAGGATCCAATGAAAAGAATTGTATTATACTATTATGAATCTTACGAGTTTTCTTAATTGTTCAACACTAGATCTATTAAACTATTTGTCCATGTGAAATGTGCTAGAGTTACTCATAAGTCACAACAAACTGTCGATCTAAATAAAAAAAAATATAACTGCCTTTCTTTCTTGAAAAAAGGGCAGACAAATTATAGTGAAATTTATCTAAAAAAAACCTTTAAATTACAACAAGCACATTCAACTTGACTTTCTTCGGGCTTACTTCCAAACCTTCCATTATTATTGGTTATCGGTGTGACCTGCATTGGAATCGATAGAAAGTGATTGCACCCCTTTTATTCAACCTTACCAAATACTTTTCAAATAAAATTTTGTTCTTGATAATTCGGTAGTTAACACAAATGCGATTTATTTATTTAAAAAAAAAATATTTGACATATTTATACAGGATAAAAAAGAAACAATCGAATCAGCAAAGCTGTTTTTCATCGATGTCCTGTTAACATGATAAAACGTTTCTATTCTATTCTACCAATGGGATTCTTTTCATTACATCAGTCAAAAAATACACAAATAAGGCTTTAAAATGCAATGCCCCAAAAAAGATATTGGAAATTCGTTTGAAAGAAGTTAATGATGACCAATCTTATTTGTTGAGTGAAAAAAATATAATAGCAACAATAAAGACGGTTAAGAATCCCCAATGATGTTTGACCAAACATTTGACAATATTTCTTGCTTTGTCATGTCAGACAACAGTGTCAACCTGAGCTTAAAGCCAAGGTAATACAAAGTTTTGGTATGGGGTCATGAATTTGGTCCAAATGAACTTTATTGGAATCATATTATATGCGATCCTACAATACTCAGTGATCGTTGTCGCGGCGGTTGTAATCGAGTCTAAAGTGATGACATTTGTAGCTCCCTCTCAAGGCCAAGATATTAATTTAGCTTTAAAACAATGTTTCTTGACTAAAATCGACCGATTTGCTATTCCCGTTTGGAAATTATATATCACAACTGCATATTCTGAGATTTTCATGGTCGCAGCAACCATTGGATGGCCGTATATTAGCTCTATTTGAAATTTATCAAAATTTACCGGGAGCACCGGTAAATTTTTATATTCAATTTTTCTCGAAAGCAGAAGTGTTTTAGGGGCAATTTTTTAAAGTGTTTATCAGACATCCTCAGGAGCATCCGAGTATATCAACATTTTAAAGAATAGCTATCCGGCAATTTACCAAAACTTATAGGCCTACCTTCAAGAGCATAATAATCTATGTATTACTGAATCCATCCCCTTGCCTTTGCCACACATTTCCCAGCCCATTACAGCATTATTTAATGTATTTTCTATACACATGACAACCATTTAGATAATTGAGACTGGGCAAGTCTTTCCATAAGTAATTTTAAAAGATTATACATGTAGTATCTTTTAAAATTAAAATGACAATTTACAATGACTTACTTTAACTACTTTTAGCCCAAAACATACCATTCTATAATACCTGAACATCAATTTTAGTACGGCCTGTCTCACCATAATTCATACAGTCAGGTGTATATTTAGTGACATTCAGTACGGGCCCTCAAGAATTTGCAATGAAAAATTTCAATTTGACGGGCAAGTCTATTCCAAAAATAACTTATTTACAATAGAAGCAGAAAAATCAGACAATCCTATCACTCTATTAATAAAAGTAAGTTATTTTTAAAATCAGTGGACTTGCCCTGCAATCCTCAAAACCCCACACCTCACAGCCATAGATTTTTTTTAGAGAGTATACTCTCTAAAAAAAAATCGAGTGATCACGGACGTCACTCCTCTGGAGAGTGAAAATGTAATGAAAATAGAGTGATCATTCACTCTTTTCTTCTTAGAGAGCACTCTAAAATCAATCGATTTTCACTCCTAAACAAGTGATCACGGACGTCACTCCCAAGAAAGTGAAAATAGAGTGAAAATTCACTCTTTTTTTAAAGAGAGTAATATTGGCAGGATTAAACCGATCAAATAACTCACAATGAATATCCAATGATAATCTTAACCTTTGCACCTTTATAGGATCATTGCAAATGAGGCTTTTCTTGCCTGAATCACCTGTTTTGATATTGCCTTTTAAAAATTACCATAATACCGTTCCCATACTTAAAAACTGGATATAGGCCTAGTTGCGTATACCTTCCCTCTAGAATCATTGTTTTTTACATTATTCACACGCAATTTCCATTTCTCACAGTAGTTAGACAGAGCATCTAAAGCCATTTGGAGTTCCTCTGGATGTTCAGCCAAGATAATGAGCATCATAATAGCAATGAATGTAAATTAATAAATATAAGTCTTCATCGGAAATGTTATCAAGAACATCAGAACACACCTCATCATATAAATACCGTAACCCTTGAAAATGTGGTTCGGATATAATATCCAACAAATCATTAAGATGATTGCGAAAAGTAAGGGGATAGATTATCACCCTGTCTTACCCCAATATAACAAGCATTATGTTTCAGAGGTTTGACCACATGTCGTAACACACGACTTTAATAGTAGAGGCATACATTCTTAAAGGTAAAGACCAGTTATGGTCATGCGATTGCATTGTGAAAGAAACGTTGTGGAATCGATCAGAAAAGGTTGATCATCTAGCATCTAGCATCTGCAAGGTTCTGGAATCATCAAAATGATAAGAAATTTGGCCCATTCTTCGTAAAGTTACAAGCACTATACACAGAAGATGTATATGGGACTATACCCTATATCTCTCACAGACCATGGAGAGAAACAAATTTACCAAAATATATGAATTATTAGGCGGTTTCCCGGCAAATTTTTTATCATCATGTATTAGTCAAAACATATTCTTTCACATGATTGGTAATGAGAGCTTCCATTTCATTTTTGAAATTGGGGCGTTTCCAATACTGGTCTTTATA